AGTTATAGGTGAAGGGGTTTATCTGCGATTTACCATCTTCAAACTTTTGTGCAGAATGCATCAAATGTAGGAAAGTTGAAAAATCATGTCTCTAACAAAGTCCAGTTAATTCTATTTTGATTCTGATTTTTTTATATCAATTGATTAGTTTCTCCAAGTTAAGCAAAAATGATAGGAAATCCTTTTGGTATTTTCCCTTTTTTATGTTTTAGAGTATAAGACGGATCATGAAGTTCGAGCCATATATGTGTATTTGTGTACACACATATGCATGCATGCATGTGTTCGGGATTTTCTTATTGTTGATATACAGATTTAAACTTTGCGGTAGTATTGGAACACTAGAATGGTTGCATCTAATACTACAGTAAGCTCTGTTGGTGCAGGAGAAATTTTACATCTTTTGTCTTGATAGTCTGTTACTGTCCTTAATTAAAATTCTCCTGATTTTGTTTTTTCAATTATCAGTTCTTAATATTTTATTTTTTCAATTAAGGTCTACTGTACTTGTTAAAATTCTCCTGATTTTGTTTTTTCAATTATCAGTTCTTAATATTTTGCAGGTTAGCATCTCCCTTAAGCATTTGGTTTTGGAGCTCACTAGCTGATAAAGCTTTTTTCCACTCTGGCCGCTGTAAAACCATCTTGTCATTCTCGCACCTCTAAGTGGGTGTGGGGTTGTAATGACTGGGTGATCTCATCATTCTTTCTTCGTGGATCAAGATCATCCTTTATTTGGAGACTCTGTCGTGTTTTGGAGGGTCTTTTTCTTGATTACGGCTAATATAGACAGCGACGTAAATTCTACTGCCTGTCAGTTGTTGATCATTTGATAAGTCTTACCTAGCTTGTTGCTTTGGGTAATTGGGTTATTTTTCCAATTCTAGCTGGATAAGGTCCAAGTCTAAACTTGCTTCTTGGTGTTGAAATAATGATCTTTTGAAGCGTTGTTCCCTTGAGTATAATGGTCAGATTTTCTTGCTTTTCAAATCCCAGCCTTTACCAAAGACCAAAGGTATGTGAAAGTGTTCTATTTTGTTGCTTGTGTCTTTCCTTGCATTGTGAACAGAATCTTTATTTAAGCTCTGAAACCAAAAATCCTGTTATTCTTTCAGAAAGTTCAAGATTTAGGTGGTAAAATGCATTCTACCCTGGCAAAAAGATCCGAATATCAAGAGAAAAAAGTTAATTTTGATTCTGCAAGTAAAAATTCAAATAATATTGTTAATAATGCTTCAAATAGCAGTATGGAGCAACCCAGCAGTCCATCTTCTCATGGTGAATACTGGAAATTAGACTATTCTGTAGGGGATGTCCATACAGGTAATAGTAAAGAATATCTTCAGATGTCGGGCATAAAGAAAAGTCGGTCCCTTGGAAGCATCCTAGATAAAGAGAAAGATTCCTCTGGTGGTGATGGCACAGATATTGATGATGAAGTACATCAACAATTTTCATTTGAATTCCCCCATGAGAAGAGCATGGAGAGAATTAATGATTCACCTGATGGAAACACTTCCCCTGGGTTATACAGCCATGAGAACTTGGGAACGAATTTTAATACCCAGCATAAGGAACATGATTTTGTTGAACCTTTTGATTTGGCTGCTCATCACGTCCCTCATGATTCTCTCTTCTCCATCGAGGTCATGAAGCAATTAGATGACAACCATCATGCAGATGTTGACGGGGAATCAAATGACATCATAGTTGACTGTGGATGTTTGTCGTCAGATAATCATTCTGTTCTTGCAAGATCACGTTCAGCAGCTAACCTCGGACTGGATACTGATAAATCAATGGAAGATACTGAGACTCGTAAAATGAGGTGTCGATCTAGATCTGTTGATTTACATTCTCATCATGGAGAGAAGCCTGAGTTTCATGATGGTGATGAAGTAGTTTCTCCTGAGTCAAATCATATCAAACTCATATCAAATTCTTATAATTTGCTACCAGAATCTGATGAAGATAGGAAAGGCTCGCCATGCCCTGTAGATTCAGGGGATGAACACCCTCACTCTGATACAAGTGGTGTGTTAATTGGAGGACAGGAGGCATGTGGAAAATACTGGGCTGAAAGTTTAGCTTGTGATAATCAAACTACTGTTAACAGTTATCATTCCAATGACCATTTTACCTCAGCGAATGAAGGGAAAGAAACAGAAACATATGATGAAAAGATCGAGAATCCTCAGCTAGAGTCTATAATCCAGAACTGTGCTGAACTGAATTCCAAAGTGTTCCGCATTAAGCGCATAGAGGAGTGGATCAGCCAAATTGATATTGAAAATGATAATGTAGAAGAATCTGGTGAAAGCTTATCTTCATTCTCCGGTCTGGAACCTCAAGTTGAAATCAGTATTCCTCCGATAAAGCCTGATGCTAAAAGCAACTTTGGCATGGATGTAGCTTACAAATTTATCTCATCCTTGACTGCTACCTCATCTTCAGCACAAATGGCCAACCTTGGATTGGTTGCAGTTCCGTTTCTAAGCGCATTTTCTAGCTTGAGAGTTCTTAACTTATCAGGAAATTTTATAGGTATGCTTCCTAGAGCACCAAGAACTTTTCAATATATACTAGTCCGGTTAAACTTCATTTTTCATGTTTATTGTCACTAGACTCTATGTTGTTTTAGGTATATTTACTTATACTTTTTAAAAATCCATGTGCAGTTCGGATAACTGCAGGATCTCTTCCAAGAGGACTTCACATGCTGAATTTGTCAAAGAATAATATTGCAACCATTGAAGGTCTTCGTGATCTGACACGCCTCCGCATACTGGACCTGAGTTACAACCGAATTGTTAGAATCGGCCATGGTATGACATCTCATTCTAAAATATGTGGATCTTTGCATGTAGAAGGCTATTTGTTGTTGTGTTCTTGACAACAGCATGTCCAGTAACTGATATCTTTCTTTATCATACTATCTCCCCTTTGCTCCTTTTTTTTGGCGGAAATATTGTGCTTCTAGATGTAAGTCATCAGGTTACACCTATTTTCTCTTTTTTTAATGGTTTGTTTAATCCATATAATATGTCATCAAATGTCATCAAGTAACTGTTTCCATTAGCACCCCTGGCTGAAGAAACTACAGACAGTAATTACTAGAGGCCATTGGTGGTTAGGAGGACCTATTTTGGTGGTTATTCAGTTTAACTGTATATTAAGCTTTTGCACCCAAAGAACAAATGGTTAAAAGAATCAACAAACACAATTATATATGTGGCAAAATGAATTTAAAAGGGTCACTAGAAGCATAAAAAAGGGTTTGGATTAACGAACTATTAGACAATCATATGAACTTGTTGTGAACTTAATTTATACTATAACATAAATACTGTATTAAATTTAAATGGGCAAATAGAAAGTACTTAAACTGGAGTTATTGTAGAGTGTACAAAGTTAACTAGTTACGCATACTGACAGGACTACCCGATGCACATTATAACTTTTTTGTTTATCGAAGTTGTATTTGAGGATAGTACGCACTCCAAAGGTTTTTATTTCGTAACCAGGTTATTTCCCATTTAGTTACACGTGGTTTGTTTCATTAATATGGAGAGATCACAATAAGTGACTGGTTTATTTATTTATTTGCATCAGTGGATTCCTTGAGCTGACAACATGGAGATCAGGGTGTGATTTTTTATCAATGCATACCTTATTGTGTTGTCGACTTGCTAAGCTTGTTTAGTTCTGGGTTACCATTTAGAGGCATCTATGCACTTCTCTAAAAAGTTTGCCTTATACTGTCTTAGCAAGAAATCTTGATCATTTTTCTTAGGGTTACTTGCGGATAGACCCCCTGGCCCCTCTACTGTCGTCAAATTGAACTTACTATCACTGTAGCTCTACTGTTGCAGATAGACCCCTGAATGAAATTTTTTGACCCTTTTCTGGGGGCCTATCCGCAACAATACATTTTCACTCGGGGTCCTATCTGCAACATAAAACTCCTTCAGGGGTTCTATCTGCAACAACAGAATTACAGGGGTAGTAAGCTCAATTTGGTGATAATACAGGGGGTCCATCCACAGTTAACCCTTTTTCTTATTATATGAGTAGCATATTTTGTTTAGGGGGTCAGGTTTTGTTTTATTCAGATAGGTATAGGCTACCATGTAAATTGTTCCTAATGTTGCATTATTTTACATATATTGTTTTGTATAGTGTCTGATTCAAACCTTGTTAACCTAAAGTACTAAAAATTGAGAAGAATCCTAAGGTGACTGATATAAGCTCAATATTGGAGGTTGCACAAGAATTTTTCCTTACACCAATAATCAATAGTATACCATGTGAAGATGCTAGCCAGAGGACTTGGGGACACAGTCTAGCAGATGCATGGCCAAATTGTTGGCGTAACTCCTAAGAGTCCAAGATATGGTCCTATGTAGAGAAAGAGCCTTAACCAAGCTCTTATGTGTTACTATTATCATTTTATTTGCATATTGAAGTCAAGTCTTCATTATGTTGCATCACATCCTATTTATCATGCTCCAATATTTATAAGCATACTTCTTTCCCAAACCTATAATAGAAGACGAAGAAAGGTTATAAAAGTTTACCTTAATGAAGGCATTGTATCAATATCAGGATGTAAATATCTGTTGAATTTTGTAGGTTTGGCCTCTTGTTCCTCCATCAAAGAACTGTACCTAGCTGGTAACAAGATAAGCGAAATAGAAGGCCTTCATCGTCTCCTCAAACTTCACACCCTCGACCTGCGAGGCAATAAAATCTCAACAACTAAAGGTCTTGGCCAGCTAGCAGCTAATTATGGTTCCTTGCAAGCAATCAACGTAGAAGGAAACCCTGCGCAGAGAAATGTGGGAAATGATCAACTCAAAAAGTACCTTCTCAGCCTCCTTCCAAATCTTGTTTACTACAACAAGGTTCATCTCGATCTGTAACAAGATCAGAGAACAAGCTCTCTCGAAGAGGATCCCATGGTTCGGGTCTTCATAAGTCAGCACTAAGCAATGCTCGGTCTAACCATGCTATTGGAGCATCGCTGAAGCAGTACAGAAGCAGAGTTGTGGAGGGTCGTCATGTTGGCTTGCCTCCTGTGGTAGCTAAACCTACCGCTTGTCTTTTGCCGTATAGTGAGAAGAAGGCGGTGAGCTTGAAGCCCAGTAATCCCATAAGGCGAAGCCGAAGTGAGGGTACACTTTGAGGCATTCCCCCTTTTATCGAGTTTTATTTGTAATGAATAAGCACAAGTGGAACAGTTAGGTTCTTGATGTATGGTTGCCTTTTAAGTTCCTATTAATGGTATTGAAGTACAATGGGTTTTGTATTCAGTTTTAAGTTGTTCCTATTAATGGTATTGAAGTACAATGGGATTTGTATTCAGTTTTAGAAAATTCATAATCATATCCGCTGAAATTGGATACGGCGGATACGGTTACGGATATATATGCGGACATATAAGAGGACATGTATGCAAATACAAAATGGATATGAAAAAACTAGATAGTATTGAGAAAAACATAATTCTTGTGATACAAAAGAGTTCGTTAATATGTTTATTATAATTGAAAAGTTACGATTAGACATCTTAATTATTAAAATTAACCACAAATCCATAATCTAAGAAACGAAACTATCGTAAGAGTATGTCTAATATGTACTCGGATATTTCGGTTACGGATAATGATATTTCACAATAAAAACATATTCGTAACCATATCCTATCGGTTATAGATTTGAGTAATCATATCCATATCCTATCGGTTATATTGGTTACGGATATTTTCTCGGATATGGATACGGTTTAGCACCCCTAATTATTAGACAGCCGCACCACAGATATATACAGCCACAGCCACATCACTTTTACTTCCTGCTCTCGCTAAACAAATTTCTTTTTTATGGAATTTACGCCTTCGCTGTCAATGCTTCAAGGAGAAACAAGAAAAGGAAAAACGGGGGGTGGGGTTAAGATTTTTGATACACAGACACTATTTTTGATACACAGACACTTCAAGTTCACAAGATCAGCAGCGTATACTTGAATATGAACACCAGCCACCGTAAGAATAATTAGCCACCACATCACTGCAGCAAGTTGTTCACCGATATAAAACAACAATAGTAGCATCTAACAGACAATAACAATAATAGAAAGGCAGCCTCCTAACATAGGGCAACATATAAACATGCATACTTGAGGGAACATCTAATTGTAAACATTCATACGGGCAACATTTCAACATAAAATCTCAAGGCAAAAGCAGTACAACCTTCAGGTGGTAACCACGAGAAACCACGCAATTCAGGAGCTAAAAAGAGACAACAATCATCCAGTTTTTGAAAGGTAGATGACAGACAGTAAAAACAAGCAACAATGCAAGACTACCACCACTTTCAACACATAGCAGGCTCTGCTCTATAAATGCCAGAACAAGTTTAATTATCTCCATCGGGGTGTCCCATTTAATTATCTGCAGTAAGAAGAACAAATATAAATTAGAGAATAGAAAGTCTGATGACAAACAAACATAACCACTAACAATATCTTTGGATTATAATTTCCTCACAAGTAGGCATGATATCCGATCAACCAATCAAATGAGAAAATATCAAGCATATACGAACCAAGTACAATACGTTAATGTCATAATAACCAACGGAGTGTTAAGTCCGGTCAGATCAATTTCTAAGTTGCAACTGGTACATGCGTCAAACAAATCAGCTGATCTGCCTAAAACTGACTGAAACATGAAAAAAAATTCAACATATCAAGAACAATCACAATGCGGAACATGGAAGAATATTATTCTTTGTTTATTTAATTATTTGACTGGGATTCGCATCCCCAATCCATAAACCAAAAACAGAGATTCTTTGTAAGAACTCTATAGAAATACATCATGATATCCTACTTCAGTGAGTAATTATGCTTTGCCTTTGATTAAGGAGGGCCATAACATCCACCAAACATTTCAGCCAATTCTTTATCTGTGAAGAGTTGCATTAGAATTTGCTACTAAGATTTCTTTTTCACGAGATGATATGTCATGTTCATAACAGGCATATGCGCAACAAGAACAAGCACAATACATTCAACGAAGATGATATCCGTGCCACAGTTTACCATGAGGGAGGGTGGAAACTAAGGAAAGGGAAAAGATTGAATATTAAAAGAAGAAAGTATGAAGGTAAATCATATCACAAATTACAGAATCAGATTCCCTTTACCACGTAGAACCACAAACTTAAAAACTCATGTCAAAATACTAGTGACTACGTTACTCAAAAACAATATTGAGTATTAAAACTAATTGCTAATTTAAGATAGAGTGATACTCATAAAGCAAAATTGACTATCCATGTGTGAGTTGTCAAGACTAACAAAGAAATGCAAAAAGAAAAAAAATTGAGAAGAAAAATATTCCTAAACTATATTTTCAAAAGCCTTTGCGCAGGAAAGAGGGACAACATGAGAAAGACATATAAGGACAGGGTACCAACAGTCGAACAAGCGAAATACATGCACAAACAGGCAAAACGACAAAGTTCCAGGATCGAAACAACCACGAATTACAGCGCTCATATGTATGAAATTAGTGTAATTGACTACTAATATGTCTAAAAGAAAGATATTTTGACATGTGTGAGGTCTAAGTGCAGTAAAGCAAATGGAACCAAACCACAACACACACACCCACCCACCCCCTCCAATATCAGATCTTGCTTTTTCCTAAAAACTGTCTGATAAAGATAAATGAGAAAACATAAAACCTGCATTGAAAACACCATCTGTAACCAAACAAAATGTTTCTATAAACAGATAGATAATTGGAACAAAATCATTATTGATACCTCAAACTTTCCAAATATTGACTGTAACTAAAACAAGATATAATGAGCCATTAAGTGAATTTGAATCATATTTAAACTTTATAGAAAGAAACTAATCATACCCATGCCACATATAAACTCCATGAATAGATGGACATGATCAGAATAAAATATTCGTTAGCTTCCAGGCCTTCTAAAAGTGTGGAAACAATCAAATCAAATATTGGATGATCGAGAAGCTAAGCAAAATAAATGACATCAGCTTTATCTCTTATCGCATATAATTAATTCTGGAAAAAGGGAAAACATCAGCTAGTGACAACATAAAAAATAAAATACTATAAGAAGCTATAAAATATTTGAATTCCAGAAACCAAATACCTGAGGGGAATGCTCAAACAGAAGAAGAAATAACCCCAACTAAACAAAATTAAATTATTTTGCTGCAACTGCAAGTACTAACACGTCAGCAACAAAGATCATGACCAACTGGAAGCAACCCAAGCAAATAATCAGAAATTTGCCTGTGTGATCTAAGGCCCTAAAAATGATATATTGCACTAGAAAAAGCTCAAACTAAGTTAACCAAATCTTAGCACTCTAGCGAGACATATTGAGTTATATAGAAGTCCCCAGCCTGCATATTAAATCTTGGAAAATCAAAAAGACCACAAGTCAACTCTTCAGGAAATGTGTTTCGAGGGAGAAACAAAAACTAACAAACTCAATATATTGACCACTGCCAGATATATTATCCTATATCAAACCTGCTTACTCAATAGCAGATGAAGGGGGGGAAATGTTTAAACTCTTCCACATATTTTTCACAATATTTGCTGTTTAACTGGATAGTATTTAGCAAATCCACATTTTTCAAGAAATTGCAATCAGAGAACACATCTTTATCCAATAAGAGCCAGGAATTAATTCTAACTCCCACATAAGGAAAAAAAAAGTAAAAGGTCTCGAGAAGAAAATAATCCTATTTGACCACTGTACATTGCTAACATTAGGAAATAGAATAAAGTATAGACTATAGAGTAAAAGAAAGTCCACAAAGAGATCGTTATTAGCATCACTAAACTTGAATATACAAGCTACTCAATGAATAGAAAATCATGGAAAAGATTTAACTGCATGTTTCTATTTCACTACCTGTAAAAAGGAATCTAACATTTCTACTCATCATCATTGTTATACCTAAAAATCAACTAAATTAAGCTCTTCATCTAGCATGTATCACATAGTAACCAACAAATACCATCCCTTTCACAAGAAGACAAGAAGAGTACACAATATATTTAGATAACTACTTGAAGGCCCTAATCACCATAAGCATCAGAAGACCAAACAGAATCAACAAAGTCAAAAACCTTTTTGGCGCGCTACATTAATTCACCAACAAGGCAACAACTATACATTTCTAATCAATCCTACTTGTTAAAATTAGGAAAAAGGACAAAAACCATGACAGAGATTAAACAGAATAAGCCTCTCAATCTCTCATAAACCAAGAGTAAAGGTGTGTCTTTCTACAGGTACAAAACAATCACATAAAGTCCATCAATCAAGAGATCTAACTTCTATATCCCGCATCATTAACATCACAAGAATTAATAATTCCTCATTAGCAACATGATAAACAACAAAATCAATAACTATCAAATTTCTCCCATATCAAATCACTAGCTAACTTATTTCATCAGCCCGAATCACAAAGTAATTGGACAAGACATAACTATGAATTATATACTGACTACTACTTCCTATTTATTCACTTCAGCTTTTATCACATCCTTCTAAAGAAGAAAATCAATATACCTAATCGTTGATATCCCCCAGCTCCAGTATGTAAAGCATAGAAACAGAATAAAATATAACATATTTTACTGATCCAGATGTGCCTCAACCTTTCTTCTTTCTTGATAGGAAAATGATTTAAGGACCCAAAATATGGGACCAAGGGAGGGGACAGGTGAGGTGTCTCCTCCCTATTGCATAATGAGTTAGCCATGCCAACTCATGCCAACCTATGTTACTCGGACACGGCGGTTTGACCACCGTATCGGTGTCGATCCGACCCGACACCGATCCGGGTATGAAATACGGGTCGGATACGGTGGTCGGCTCTCGGATACGACGAGGTGTGTGAATCGAAAACCCAAAGAAATAGAGAAAGAAAAGATGAAATTACATACCAAAAAACGTCGAATTGGCAGATCAATTGCACAGACAAACAGCCATTAAAATATTTTGAGATCTAGGGTTTGAATAGTAAACACTAGATCTGGAAATTGCTTCAGATGATCTTCGAAATTGTTTGTAGTGGTGATGGGGCTTTTGCACGCGAGGTCGAGACGAGTGCAATGGCTTAATTTCGCCGTCGCCGTTGATAATTTCGCCGTCACCGTTGCTTTCCCCTTTTCTTTTTCCTTTCCCCCCCTAATATGAGGTGCGAATGTGAGGGGATGAATACGAACGTGAATGTGACTATCGGTGAGGGGGTGAATCCGTGAATTTGACTATAGGCTGAGTAATAATGACGTGGTTGGAGCAATTAATTTCCATAACAGTTGTCTAACACGATTTCTTTTGCTTGCAGGTAATGAAGATTGAAGAGTTAAAAATGGAAGTTGAAAAGTTACAAAGCTTTTCACATGTTGAGTTGTTGATTAAACTTTGTTTTTCTGTAAATTTAGGCTTAAGTTGTTACAGATGTATAATTTTTGAAATTCTTGGATTTACAATAGATATTTGAAGCAATTAAAAGTGTATACGGGTTAGAGGAATGAAATTTAATTAGTTTTACTTCATTAAATAAATTAAATTATTATTTTTTAAATTGATATTCTTATTTTCACTTGATCACCCAAGAACATTTTATATACATCATACATACACCTAATAATTTTAAAAAATAAATTAGTTGTACCGTCACTTCTTCATATAGTTTATGAAATTTTAAAAGTGTATACGGGTACGAATTTTTTTATGAAATTTTAATATTTTTTATTGCCGTATCCCCGTACCCGTGTCGAAATTTAAGACGGTGTTCCCGTATCCCAAATTTTCAGAAATTTCGTATCGGATACTCGGATCCGCACCCGTATCGGATACTCGTACCCGAGTCCATGTAACGTAGATGCCAACTCATTATGCAATAGGGACGGGACACCTCACCTGTCCCCTCCATTGGTCCCATATTTTGGGTCCCCGTAGCAGCACTCTTCTTGATATATAGGTGCATGTTATAGAATTATCATCATCAAAGTTAACTACGTTCTAGTGATCAATATCATTTAACCTGCCCAATTGTTCTGATCACCATCATAATCAACAACATACCACACCAAAGAATAAGCAAGACAATTCCTTTTCGAATAATTACCATCAAAGATTGCATTTTAATGCTAAATGATAAAACCATTCAAGAACCCGTCGTACCTTTCTGTTCCTCGTCAGCATCATGATACTCCTGCTCCTCCTCCGGCACTGGGTGCAGCTCCACCTCCGCCTCCTTCTCCGCCACGCGGTCCGCTCGCCGCCCGGGCCCCTTCATCCGGAAACCTCACCACCACCACAGGGCAAACGCAGTGATGCACACAGTAATCACTAACACTCCCCAGCCTCCCCTTACTTCCCCTTCTAGAAGCCCCAAATCCTCGACTCCCCATGATCACCGCACTCAGCCCAAGCCTCTCAACCTCAAGACAAAGCCTCTCCTTCATATCATGATCCTTCACGATATGAATCTTGAAGGGGATCTGTGATTCGACCAACGGCTGAGCGAGATCTTGAGCCTTGGTCGAAGTGAAAGCATCGAAATCGTCCTCAAGCTTCTGCTGAGATTCTTCATTTGTAGTTTCAGAGGGCGGAGAGAGGTCGATCGATCCCCAGTCGGCGCCGTAGAGGACGGAGGTAGGGCGGACGTGGAGGAGGATGACGGCGTCGCCGGGGCGGAGGTAATTGTTGTACGGCCTCACATTTGACGGGCGTAGGCGGACTCGTCAGAGAATCGGACGGCGATACGCGATCGGCGGTGGGAGGCGGCGTGAGGGTTGGCGGGCGGACGGCGATGAGAAGAAGAAGCGGCGGGGATGAGGGTTGGATGGTTGGGGTCTGCGGCGGCGGCGGAGCGGTGGGGGATTTGGCGGGGGATTGGGGTTGGGCGAGTCGGAGCTGCTCTGCATCGTTGTTAGGGTTAGGGTTTGATTGATGATTTATTCTATTGATTCGTTGGGTTTTGATTCTTTAAAAAGGGTAAGCGTGAGAGGGAATAGGGGAATAGAGTGAGTGAAGTGGAAGGAAGGCGCAAGAAGAAATAGGTGGGTTTTGGACTTTCGGGAGGTCTTCTTGCAGATAGGACCCTTAGAGGTAGGAAAATTGCGCAATGTTTCCTCTCCACTTAAGGTGCCCTTATATTCTTTTTTGGGGTTTTTTAAAGATATTTGTCCCTTAAATATTCAATAATTTCACATTAAATCTTAAAAATTTCATATTAGTCCCTCAAATCTTAGATGGTCTTGCAAAACAGTCCTTCAAAATAAATCACATTAGATCTGAGGGGAATATTCTATTTAATTTTACGATTAGAGGCAGAAACTATTTTACCCCATCTATCGTGTTCCATAGCTCATTCCTTAATGTGTTTAACCAATACTCACGTAAAAAATTCAAATCTACATGAAATCTTCTTCTCTAACGGTTAGAAAAGAAGCCTAACCAAAAGTTGAGCATCATAAAGTTTTGAAGCATAAAAAAGATGAACAGTTTGGTAATTGTAAACGTTGGATTAGGAGATGGACAGTTTGGTGATTGTAGATGTTGGACTACGAGCTTACCCAACCATGATTAACTATTTTAACTGAAATACTAATAAAGGAATCATTTAGGAAGAGCCCAGAGATTTTGAGGGATTATTATGCAATTTCTAAGAGTTAAGGGACTGATATGCAACTGTCGAAGATTTAAGGGATTGATATCTAAAAAACCCATATTTTTGGGTTCTTTCTTTGATATTAGTCCCTTGCATCTTTAATATCTTGAAATTAGTCTCTCAAATCATTCAAATTGCTATTAGATTCCCAATTTCTTTCTTTTTTCTGAATTAGTCCCTTCAATAGAGGTAGCAATTAGAAAAGCTAATTTTGTCAACTGATGAAAATTGTGGAGACCTAATAATAATTTTAATGCTTTGATGAACTAATTTTGAAATAAGTTAAGATTTATGAAATCTAACAGCAACTTAAATTATTTGTTGGACTACTTTCCAAAATAATAAAGATAAATGGGACTAATGTATGTTTGACAAGTAACTGGGAGAAAGAAACGGTTCAAATTTGGGTAAATATCAGGACCCCCCCCCCCCCCCAACCCCCCCCCCCCCCCCAAAAAAAAAAAAAAAAAACCCCAGCTTTGGACGATTATTGAAAACCCCCCTAGCTTAATATCAACCCCCTCTAACTTTTAGATTTTGTCAGAAAACCCTCTTTAACTTTACGTTTTTGAGGGTTCTGATAGCCCCTAAACTTAATGGGTTTTTCTAAAATTTTGAAAATTAAGGGGGGTTTTCTAATAAATTTCCAAAGTTAAGGGGTTTTATGATACTTAGCCCGAAATTTTTTTTAATGAAATTCGTTTTATGCTCTTAGGAACCTATCAAAAGACACTGAGAAAATGGAAAATACTAGCAGGCATACCTTGGTTTTCTCGAAAAAGACCACTCTTATGGGAGTAGAGTGATTTATACAATTGATATAATAGTCAAAATTACAAAACTAATACTCTAAGCGCCTGTGAAGGGTATAGATCACTCATTTCTATAGAATGTTCTGATAAAATCCTTAACTCAAAAGAACAGATCATAACACAACTTGTTCATGTGGGTTCCATTTAAACCCTTTGCTGCGAACCAACTAGAAAGTTTACGGGCCCTGTGATTCATCACATGTATCGTTTTGTTCAACTTGTTACTTATAAAGAGGATAACAAATAGAAAGTACTGGTCAATAACAGTGTGGATTATTAAAGGCAATGTACAGGTATGTAATGCATAAATTTCCATCAAGTCAAATCACCTAATACTTATTATACATTTCTTTATTATATGTGCTCCAAGTTGGACTTCTCTTATCATGATTTAGCTGGAAAAATAAATGTCTAACTACATTTATAGTATCATGTCCAAATTAAAGTTGAGAACCAAAGGAAAAGTTCACCAATCCTGTGACTCTTCCCGGGTAAAAGTTTGTCCAAGTGATTATTTATAACCTAGCTACAAATAGAATGTGCTGGTCAAGAACGATGGGGATTTTAAAGGAATTACCATGCTGCAATGCATAAATTGTAATCAAGTCCAATCATCTAATATTTTATTTTAAACAGTCCCTATCTTACTGATGTAGAACACACAACAGACGCGTTTATGTCAAAGTGGGTCAGTCGTAAGCCCAAATGCGGGCCTGGTCGAAGAAAATAACTAGTTTCGAAGAAACGGCCGTAACTTTCAAACCGTACGTCGGAATAGGACGAATTATATATTAAAATCGACTATCTCGATGAGACGGAGCCATCCAAACCCACTCTTTTGGGTTTGGTTTGCGTTCTCCGTTTCTCCAAATTCCTTACAGTTTGAGAGATATTTGCATTTTGTCCGTTTTTTACTATTTTTAGTAATATTTTAGGAGTCTGTTTTATTTAGGAAACAAATCCGATTTGATCTCAGATTTGACCGGTGGACTTTCCTAGTAATAGGAGTCTTTTTAGGAGTTTTAATATTTTAGGAATTTTTTTACTATTTTTGGTAGAGTTTGAGTCCTTGTAGGAGTCTTGTTTCTTTTTTTTCTATTTAAGAAGAGTCTTGTAAGCCCTAGAGGCATAACTTTTGATTAATAAAATTTTGTTTTTCCTCAATATTTTTTTATGGATTCGAAGCTCTTCGTGGATTCAAAGATTTTCCTTGGTGAATTCCAAGGCTACTACTTCCGTGCTGCGTCACTTACTTCCTCCAAGTTGGAATTGTCTTAGAACTAGCTTGAACATAAATGTCTAAAGGTATAAACTATTATGATCTAATTTGAGTATATTCTAGTATTAATATCCTGAAATCTCTCTTTAGACGTTGATAACAAGCCTGTTTGTTTGCCTAAAAAAATTGAAAATCAAAGAAATGGAAAACTATTAAACCAAAGAATTGTTTTGGGAGTGTTTGGTTTGCTAAAAAAAAGAAGGAAATCAAAGAAATAAAGATGAGTTGTCACCTTATTATAGGATGATGTGAGTGATTTTTTAAGAAAACTTGTTTTGATGTTGTTTGGTTGGCGAAAAAAATAATGAAATAAATTATAAGAAACCTATTTCTTGTAATAGGTTGTTTTCTTTTGCTTGGTTATTTCTTAAAAATAAGAAAATATATGAGATGAGATGAGTTGTCATTATATTATTGGATGATGTGACCCATACTTAAGGAAATTGTTTTCCTAGCTTTTTAGGAGGAAAACAAAGAAATGAAATGTTAATGAGATGAGATGAGTTGTCACAATCTTATTGGATGATGTGAGTAATTTTTAAATATGAGATGAGATGAATTGAGTGATGTTGTGGATGAAAATAATATTTTATTAGATGTGGTGGATATGATGGATGAGTTGTTGGATAAAAATAATATTTTATTAGATGTGATGGATGAGTTGTTGGATAAAAAATGTGGATGGATGAGTTGTTGGATAAAAATAATATTTTATTAGATGTTGTGGGTGAGTTTTAGGGATGAAAATGTATGAAATTGTACTTTTTGAGTTTTCTTGATTTTATTAGATGTTGTGGGTGAGTTTTAGGGATGAAAATGTATGAAATTGTACTTTTTGAGTTTTCTTGGTTTGCATTTCTATTTTTTGGTTTTTTTATGAAATAACCAAACAGCCCCTTAGTGGATCTTATGCGTCGGGAATTCTATGCGTGCAATGAAAAGAGAGATTTGATTAAAATTATTTGTACATCACTAGATTGTAATTCAATCAAATTCTGACCAAAATTTTTTATTTTTTATATTAAAAATCTACCTTGCGTCAGTCCAAAACTGACGAGGTGAGCATTTCTTGAAAAGAAGAAATTGGAGTCTTTTCAAAGTTCGTTTATCATGTTTTCCTTTTAAGTTGATTTATGCTAAAAAGGCCCTTAGCTTTCTCAAAAAGCAATCATATACAATTTCACGTATATGTTCATCATTAACATGTGTTTCCTCCGTCATTTTGTTTATGGGAAAATTTTTCTAGCCCCCAAAATAACTCCAAGTATCTTCCCCTAACCTAAGACTTTTTCAAAGCTTCAAAATCCCTTAAATTCAAACCCACAATCTTCTGAGCCCTAAAAACCCAAAATTCAAGAACTCTTTGTACTTTCAAATATTTAAAAACCATAATGCTCTCTCTCTCTCTCTCTCATGATGATTAGAAATGGGTTTTGGAGGGAAAAAATTCTAGTTCCCTCCAAATCCTTCCAACAATATCTTGAAGAACATTTCCCCGATGATTAGAAACGAAACTTTCCCGGCGTTCGTTCATGAGGTAAAGAACATTGTGATCTTGAAGACATTGGTGACGAGCAAATGACAGAGCATTTAATCGACGACGCTGGCGGATTTGAGATGAGTTGCGATGGATTCAGCGTTGCCGTTCCCACAAAAAAGGCGGGAACTAAGGTGACTCCTGATGTGAGCTGCAAAGTGAACTAGGGATCAAGATCTGGAAATGGACACTTGTCACGCCCCGCTTCCTAAAATATCGGGGGATCGGAACATGAACAAGCCCGCGACGTATTAGATTGAGGAGAATAAATAAAAACATTTATTCTCAACCTAATACGCTAAACGTCAATCAATATAAAATGCAAAGTCATAGGTCCCCGATCATAATTAGCAAGAATATAATAAACAACTCAGAATAGAAAAATCATATCACAAATGGAATATCATCTGAAACACAAAGTTTGGGTCAAACATGCCATTATTACAAAATAGTCCAACAAAATATGAAAAATACATAGTCCAACAACATAAACGGAAGTACTGTAAAAATATCTAAATCCCTCAAATACTAAAAGAGAAAGTACTATATGAATAATCTAATATACGTCAGCAACTATGGAAAGAAAAGACTAAGCTCCAGCTAGCTTTTCTGCTCCATTTGGAATA